CCCACAGCTGCTGAAGAGGAGAGATGTTTTATGGACAGCACAGAGAATGGAGGGTAGGGAGGGAAGAAAATGTTCTTTCACTGGAAAAACAGAGAACTGAGGCAAGACTCTGAGGTGGGTTTTGCCAGGAAAAAGCCAATGCAGTAAGGTATGATTTTCTCTCAATAACTGAAATTCATTGGTCCCTCACATCTGGGAGCTGAGAGCAGCACTGATAAAATGCAAAACTGAGCTGCTTGGCCATTGGCACACAGAATTTCTGTGTCAGAGGCAGCCAGGGGGCTGAGTTATGGGGAGGGGAATGCAGCTGGGGCATCACAAAACTGGCTGCTCCCTTTGCAGAGCCCTTCTCCTCCGAGAGATCCGTGCAGGTCCTTAACTCGCTGCATGTGGTGCCATCCCTTAGGGGAGAGGTGTTTTTGCGAGGCACACATAAAATGTGTTTCTATTCTTCCAAATAGATCGACAAATTGGATCTGTGGGGTATCGAGCTGCCCCTTCACCATCTGTAAATTTTTCCTAAAAGCTGAGGATGATTGTGTGATCTTGACCAACTTTGTAGGTATTCTTTCACAGAGTGTCTGAACATCCTTAATTAAATTAATTGAAAAAAGCCCCATTAAAATCTGCAGGACTTGCATATGAGTTTACTTGACAAACTCTGACACATTTATACATGAGAGGAAATCCAATCAATTCCATGAAATTTGTCTTCATTAAGAAAAACCGAAAGATTTTGAAAAACCCATGATTTTGAAGTGTTTTTCCTTTTAAATCTGACCTACCTGCCTGTGAGATTTTCAGATTCATAAATCAGTATTTCTTATCTAGAAATAGTATTACTTAGTTCACCTATCAATTTGTCCATATTTATACCTGCCCATGTCATGTCATTATACCTTTCTTGATTTTAATAATGTCTCAAAGCCGGGAGGCTTTACCCATTTATTTTTTTCTTCTTGCCTTCTGTAACTCCCGTCAGTTGGGGTGTCCTGGTTGCTTCATTGAATACCTGTAGGGTCATATTTTGGTAGTTTTGTCTGGAAAGAGTGTGTCTAGAATGCAGCACAACAGGCCCTTCAGGTTACCTGAGCACAGGTAGTGTTTATGGTAAAGAGCAGCTCGTGATCCAGGATGTTTTTCATACCGTGGCAATCTCCTCTGTTAGATTTTATGTCTTCCTAGTAGGGGAAATGCAAGGAATAACTGTCTGAGGGACTGGAGAGCAGATCAGTCAGGAGATGAGGTGATGATGAGATGAGATTTCTGCCTATCAGCAGCAGAATGACCAGGGGTGGCTGTGCCAGGTGAGTTCAGTGCCTTTGGTTCCCTGCACATGACCCTGAGCAGCTCCACAGGACATTGAACAGGGGAAGGCACTTAGGGAGCTCCACAGCTCAGAATTAAATGCCATCAGAGATCTCCATGGCTCAGAATTAAATGCCATCTCAGCAGCATTATCTCTTCCACTCCTGCTCCTTTGGAGGATTAAATGTCCAAACTCCTCCATCTGACTCCCCAAATAACATCTCTGCTGCTGCTCTGCACAGCCTCTTGCTGGCTGAGAAGCGTTTTTGCACATTAAAATCTTCTAAATCAGATAAATACTTACAGATCTATTACCTGGATGTCACACAAGCAGCTGTGAGCTATAAAATCGTTCTGTTTGTTGGACTTGTCCATTGGATTTTTTTAATCTTGGTTGTTGGTTTTTGGGTCTTTTAAAGCCATAAGACCACAATTAGTTGATTTTTTTTTTCAGAGGGAAATGTTGTCATTCCTCTTTCCTGAGAAGGAAAAAAGACAAAATACACAGTAAAAATCAAGTAAAGCTACATTCAAAATAGAACTATTTGTAAAATAATGATTAAACATAGGAAAAGTCTTCACATTTTGGTTTTCAATAAGGCAAGAATAAAAATAGCATGGAAAACATTTCCTTCATTTTAGTCTCTCTAATATAAATTATTCTGAAAATCAAAATTAATTGTTTCTATTGTCATAGAAAATTTTGTTCAATTAAATAAGATATCCAAAATTTGCTTGATATGTGAAGATTGGAACTTTAAAACTGTAACAAGACAGTTGTAACATATGGTGTAACTGTAGAATTCTTTGTGTTTTATACCAAAACCCTGAGCAAACCTGGAAATTCTCATCATTCAGAATGGTTTAGGAACAATATTACTGTGGGAACTTGAGAGTCATGGGATGTTAACCTCTGTTAGGGGTGGAGTTTATAGGCTTTTGACTAAAGATTTGTAAATGGCTCCAGATTTTATTACCTTCCAGCAGAAAGAGGAGTAGGATAAAGCAGAATTACTCAGTGACCTGCAGTAGCTGATAGGTGCAGCCACAATTCCCTGGCTTTCTCTCATGTGTAATCTTGGCATTTGTGTTTCCTCTGCTCTCAGCATATAGAGCATGTGTGTGATTTGAACAGACATAGAGATAAAAACAACTAGCAGGGAAAAACCAGCATGCATGGAGCCAAATCCCTTCTATTCAGTGATACTTAAACAACAAGTTACTCATTAATTATTTAATTTTATTTTGTTCCTTCTAAAACATAATAAAAATCTAAACCATCAGGCATCTAGGCTAGAAATACTTTTACCACAAAACCACTCTGGCATTTTTTGGTAGACTTTGCTGAAATGATTTGGCTGTGCTGACTGGGAAATGAGATTTCTGATAAGGAATTGCTACAAGCTCTTAGATTTTGGAGCTTGTGCATGCCAAGCCAGACCTCTGGACTCACCTGCTTATCTGAGTTTGTCTAAGCTGTGAGATATCTGTACCCAGAGAAGTCCCTGCACACTCTGGGTTGTAATGATGCAGGAATGTCACAGAATTACTCATGTTACACATCATGGACTTCTCCAGAACATCCCAGCCATGCACTGAGTGAAGTGGAACACAGCTCAGCTCTAAATTGCTGCTCAGCCCACAGGGGCTTGAAACTGGAGCTTTTGAACTTGAAAATACAACGTGATGAGGTCTCCAGGTTGTGAGAGGTGTTTTTCAGAGGTTTGATGGAGAGTGCAGGAAAACTGTTACTTTTTCAGTGGGATCGGGGCCAGTGGCTGCATTCACCTCTCCTCAGGGAGTGGTCCCAGCTGGTCCTTGCCTTTTAGCAGAGCCTTGCTGAACCTCTCCAGGTGCTGCTGAGAGCAGGGAGGGTCTGTGCAGGGGCAGCTGTGGCTGGCAGTCCTCCTGCCTTTTGATGATTTGGTTTCCTTGTCCACACAGCAACCTGGGAATTGCTGGAATGAACCTGGGCTGTGCCTGCAGCCATCCTTCACCCTTGAGGCAGAGCTCCAGTAGAAAGTAATAACCCTTGGTGTCTCTTGTTTAAAGGCCTATAAACCAATTTAAAATGTCTCTTGATTTCTGTATCTTTTTTTCAAGATTTGTCTGGCCATTACAAGAAATGGGCTCTTAAGGAGGAGTCTGTCCTGGTTTATTGTTTCATGGGAAGACACTTCCCAGTGTTGATGGCCAGGGATTTCACTTTGTGCTCGCAGAAAATGTCATCAAATCAGAGACTCTCCCGAGCTGAAGGCACCCCCAAGGATCATCCAGCCCAGCCCCTGGCCCTGCCCAGCCACCCCAACAATGCCACCCTGGGCATCCCTGGGAGCTCCTGCAGCTCTGGCAGCCTTGGGAATGTCACCATTCCCTGGGCAGAGCTCATGGTTTGAGCCCTGCACTTGAAACTTGACCATCTGGGAAACAACACACCACCACCAAGGTGCTGTGACAAGCTGTCATGGATTTCCCCCAGGGATTTGCCATTTGTGGCAATTAGAAATCCTGTTGTTTCCCTCCTTTCATTGAGGACAACATCCCTGCTATCCCATCCAGTGGGATTGGGGGTGGCTGGGGTGCAGCAACCCCTCTTTGTTCCCACTTCAGTGAGAATCTCTCCTCTCAAATTTAAGAATTTAGAAGATCCCTTGCAGACTTTGTTGTCAACGTCAAGGCAGAAGAACCTCAGGGGGTTGTGCTGGGAGTCCTAGAAGTGGGAAGAATGCTGGTGCTGTTCCTGAGGGAAGGCAAAGTGCAATCATTTCTGGGCACTGGCATTTCAGCAGAGCTGATGGGGAGGACACACAGCTTCACTTACCTGCAGGAGCAGCGTGAGCTCCAAACTCTGCAGCACCTCTGTTCCAGTATCTTTATTTTGCAACAGCACTTCTGGCTGTGTGACAGAGTAGTTTTGATTCAAAGCAGATCAAATCAAAGTTTCTGTTATCTAGAGGTTAAAGGCCACTCACTTGATTGGGTTTAAAGTCCAAATTAAACAGCCAAAGTGACCAAGCTATTTTAGTTCTGAAACATCTATTTTTAGGGTAGAATGTTCTTTTTATAAATAGTGGAAAATTAAACACAGACACTGGTTATAAAATAGCCTTTGCACTTGCTGTAACTTGCAAACTTTTTCATAGTTGAATATATCTAAGTCAAGGATTTTGGTTCAGCTATATGTCAGAAGAGGACTTGGAAAAACATTTCATATCTCAATCTAAATTCACTCAACTTGCAGACAATTTTTGCTGATAGAAGTTTCTTATTTCCTTTCTGCTTTCAAGGTTTGCATAAATATATATGGAATTTGAAAAGTCATAACTTACATTTCCGTGATCCTTGGGTTCAAGACTGGGATTAAATTTTTGGCAAACTTGGATGAGCACACTTTTCAAATATTTCTGGTTGTTTGGAGGAAAACCACCACTGTTTAATGCCAACTACTTTGGGTTTTTTTCTTAATATAAAAACCCTTGAGATTTTCAGACACTTGGGAAGAATTTGCAAAAATGAGAATTATTTGTGGAAGACTTTTAATTTTATTGGTATGCATGCTATGGAGAGATGCAGTTAAAGTTTTCATCTCAAGCCTGTGAACGTGGGACAATTGGAGCTCAGCCTGGGCCTGAACAGATTGGAGATAATCATCCTAAAATGTCATTTTCTTGTTGGTGTTTGCAGGGATTACAATGGTTGACACAGAAATGCCGTTTTGGCCCCTGAATTTTGGAATCAGCCCCGTGGATTTGTCAGCCATGGATGATCACACACACTCCTTTGACATCAAGCCCTTCACCACCGTTGATTTCTCCAGCATTTCCTCCCCACACTATGAAGATCTTCCCCTTGCCAGAGCTGACCAGTCAAGCCTGGATTATAAATATGATATCAAGCTCCAGGACTGCCAAAGTAAGCTCTGCCTTTTTTTTTTTTTTTTTGAAGTGTTTCCCTCGTGTCCATGTTTCATTCCCTGGAACACGTGCTAGGAGCAAATTGATTTAGAATTCAGATCTCCTGTGTCAGCAGAGATGTTCTTGCAGGGCAGATAGAAAAGGGGAAATACTCGTAGCAGACCTTCACCGTGCCAGAACAGCAGCTGGAGTTTAGGACAGGTACCATAAAGTATCCAAAATTATATTTTAGTAGACACATGAACACCTCCATTACTTCCTACTCCTGCACTTTGTGTGCTTTTCCTTTGATCTCAGTGCACACAAGGCAGGATAAACACCCCAAAATGTTGAAGAATGCCCAGGGTACAGAGCATAATTTGAATTATTAATATGTACAGTTTTTAAATTCCATACAGCCTGAGAAAGGGATGGAGTAGAAATATTTGCTACATCTGAGGCACAGCATTGCTACAGCTCCATGACAGCTCCTGGAGCGTTCACCTGCTATGAAACATGCTGCTCTTTCACAATTTACACTGAAAAATTACACTCAGTCCTCCTTTTAAGTGACTTATTCCTAAATAATTGTTACTGCATTCCTGCTCCAAGTATCAATGTGGGGGTGCTGTGCCTGGAACTCTTTTGAGGATTCACTTCTGCTTAGCTCTGACCTCACTTTTATTTGTAGTGACCAGTACAAGAACTCTTTCAGGGAATTCTTGCTGGGGAAATTGTGGTATTTAATTTGGGTGGTGCAGTGAAGCAGGAGCTGTGTATCTCTGCACTACTACTGTAATAAATAAATGGACATTTTTCCAGTGAGGTGTTTATTCTTCTTTTGTTTAATCAGAAATATTCATAACACTTTAATGCCAAGTACTTTTAAAGAGTGCAACAGAGTTTAGATGGCATAAATCGTCCTCATCTTTACTTAGATAATTTCACCCCAGTTTATATAGGAATAAATCTTTCTAGTCTGTATAGTATAGCAAATCTGGAAAAATAAAAATAATCACCTTTTTAAACACTGTTACATCACCCCTGATGTAACGTAACTTTCAAATGTCACAGCTCTCTTCTATGACAAGTGATGACTGATTTAAAGACATCGTATTTACTTGTTTGAGATGATTCAATATTAGAAATTGTTCTCTTAATTAGAAACTTTCAGAAGTGAAAATTCTTCTCTAAACTGCATCCGAAGTTGAACAGTTTTCCCAAGGAGAGAGCTAAATTTCTGGACATATCCAATATTATTTTATTTTATATATATATATGTATGTATGTATGTATGTATGTATGTATATGTATATATATAAAATTATTGAATATTTATTGAATAATATAATTATATAATAATAAAATGTATACTATATGGTATTGCATAATAATATATTATTATTGGATTATTATTGAATAGTATATTATTAAATATATAGCTCTATTATTCACTTGAATATATTTTAAACTAGATTAGACACTCCAGCCCATCTCCTTGTAGGAGTTTTTAACACCTTGAAGAAATAAACCAGATAAAGACCAAGTAAGGCCTGAGTTCTCCATACATCAATTTTTAATATCCATCTTGAAACCTTTGCACACTACAGAGCTGACAGCTGGATCTGTAATTCCCTATCTCCAGCAGAACCTGCCCCTTCCAGCTTTTGCAGCCGCTGCAATGCAGCTGCAGCTCCTTTTGCAGCCTTGGTGTGCTGCTGGCTTTGCTGTGGAGCAGACCCGGCCATCCCAGCCCAGCATCCCTGCGATGCCTTGTGCTTATTCCTCACTGCTTCTGATGCCTCAGGTTTATCTTGTATATTTTCAGATTCTGAGCTGCTTTAGTGTGTGGGTCAGGGCTTCACATTATGGGATGGTGAGCTCTGTGCACAGAGCAGGGAGACAAAACAATTCCTGCTCCAGCTGGGCACCAAGGACAAATGATCCAAACCTCAGCCCAGGAGCACAAACACCGTGGGCTGGAGAGAGAAAAACCAGCAGGGTGGGACTGATGGGCTGGAGCTGGAATGGGACAATGAACTCCAGGTGCCAATGGAGCAGAACTGATCCCAGGGAGAGCCCCGGGAGCGCTCGTGCATTTTGGGACCATTTTGGGTCATTTGGGTGCAGCCCTGGCTGGGCTCTGGTGCTGCCCAGGGTGGATCCATGGAGGAGATCCTTTAATAAATCCCTGCTTTATTCTTTAGCTCCGTCTAGTCTCTGTTCTAGCTCAGCCTTCTCAGGGCATCACTTCCTCCATGAATTCAGCTGGAGTTTATCTCACCTCTCCTGTGCACAGGTGCCATCAAGCTGGAGCCTCCTTCCCCCCCCTATTTCTCAGAGAAGGTCCAGCTGTACAACAAACCTCACGAGGAGGCGTCCAACTCGCTGATGGCCATCGAGTGCCGCGTCTGTGGGGACAAAGCCTCGGGCTTCCACTACGGCGTGCACGCCTGCGAGGGCTGCAAGGTGAGCTGCCAAAAAAGCACTCTGCTGGGCATCCGATACTGTTTGCATCTCAATCATCACTTGGTAAAATCACGGCTTTGTGCTTCATTAAAAAAGGAAAAAAAAAACTTGTAGGTCTTTGCGTCAATTTTGCTGGGTATAATTTATGGGTTAGTAAGCAGGAGTTTTTTTAAAGCTTGATTTTTTTAAAACTTTGGCTTTTTAAAACCTTGCTTATTTTTTAAAAGTTTGCTTTTTTCTTGTTGATTGTATTGTTCTATTCAAATTTTTTGTGCATTTTTTCTCCTTTCAATCAAGCAAGCATATTTTATTCCTGCTGTCTTGGGCATCATGTGCAGAAAACCTGAATTCTTAGACCACAGCCAAACTCATGCCCAACCCCAAAGCTTTGAACAATTAAAATTCAGGCTCTTTATTCTGATTAATTCGAGGTTTTTTTACCTGTTTTACACATTTTAGGTGACTACGGAGAAGTCTGATGGTATTGAGGAATGTGCTGATGTTTTATGTCAGTGATATTTAGTGTTTATAACATGTAAAGGTCAAGTCAATGGTGTAAAAATTGCAGTCCTCAAGAATGAGAGAAGAAATGTCAGAGAATTAAATTATTAATAATTCATTGAGTTCAAAGAAAAACATTAGAGCTTAATGTGAAATTCCCATTTTCTCCATTTTCAGTATCTTGAGGAAAATAAATAAAAGGAAAGAACCAATCCAGAGCTTAAATAAAATTCTTAGCAGTGAATTAGGAAGACACATAAAGCAATAAGTACAAAGTACATTACTTAAATTACAGTTAATTATATAAATAAAAGCTGGCATCATGCTTTTGCTGTTATTATTCCCTGTGAGGAAAAAGTAATTTTTACAAGGAAAAAAAGGGTGATAACTCTGGATAAACTTTATTAATTAATTATGACTGATCCAAAAAAGCATCTTTAAACTGTAAAAAGAGAAATAACCCAAAACCATTTTCATTTACCAGGAAATGAACTGCTATTGGCAGAATTTTTGGGTTTGTCGTTGCTTACAACAAATTTTCTATGTTGGTAGTGAAGTTTAAATTCTGAAAATGTCCCATTTGGTTTGCAATAATTGTCCCACAAGCAGTGGGATAAATGGAGTTTTGCTTCTTTTGGTGTTGTGCTGTTAAATGACCCCACTGATTCCCTAAAGCTTCCCCAGCTTTTTGGGAATTGTATGGCTCTATTGAATGGGGTTGGAAACAACAAATAAGAGGATCCAGAAAGGATGGTGACAGGAGCTGTGCTTGCTTGTAAATCCATCTCTCAGGGTTTCTGGGTGGGTGGAGCAGGGCCAGGCTGGCACCTGTTTGCAGCCTTTTCCACGTTTGCTGTCTCTGCAGGGCTTTTTCCGAAGAACCATCAGGCTGAAGCTGATTTACGACAGGTGTGACCTGAACTGCCGCATCCATAAGAAGAGCAGGAACAAATGTCAGTACTGCAGGTTCCAGAAGTGCCTGGCTGTCGGGATGTCACACAATGGTGAGTGCACGGGCAGCTTCAGCCAGCACTGGCTCCTCTGAGAAAGAGCATGGAACATAACACAGCTGCTGTAAGTGCTGCAATGCCCACTTCTTCAGTTTAGACATACGTGTCAGAGAGATTGCCCTGATTTAGCAGCCTCTTTCTGATTTAAGGTTGCTTTAACATCAAAATCATATAGAGATTTGCTTTTCTTGCTTTAATACATAACATAACATGAGCTGGTTTTGTTCTCCATCATTCCTGCTCACTGGTAGTTCCTCCTGAATATGCTCCTAGTGTAATTGCTATTTTTCACTTCACTGTCTCATTTTCTGATCAGACGCTTTTGCCTGGTGGAGCTTAAGATGCCTTTCCTGGAAGCCAAAAACCTGATTATGAAATATGGATTAGAGAATCTGAAGCTTTGTGAATAACAGCAACTTGAACTTGCTGCACAGGCCACTTACCAAGGGTTGTTGGCATCACTGAGTTAGCACTTCTCATACTGAAACACAACATATTTGAAATGAAAATATTCATTTTTATGAACTGTAGTTTTAAAAATCCCCATCATCCTCCTTCCTAGGGCACCCCCATCTGTGGTTGTCTTCTTTAACATAAGTAATGGCATGAAGAATATCACAATACTGCTCTAGAAGAAAATCCCTCTGAACTTTAAAATTAGCAGAGCAATTCATGTGGAAATACTTATGAATGTTTGGGCAGAAGGACATAATGAAGATTCTTTGTTGCCTTGCTTTGGCAAAGCTGAGTAAAAACAGGAATTAAATGTCATAACATAGAGACTTATGTAATTCTAAGGGTAAAGAATTGCAAACATGACTGGGAAAATAATTTCTCTGTGGTTTTTTTAGAACTTTCATTATTTTCAATATAAAAAATGAGTGTGCTGTCCCCAAGAGGATAGCTGGATTGTGGTTTGCAAAGTTAATGCATGTACTGAATGTAAATTGGTCTGGGAAATGTTTTGCTAATAGAAAATACAGTTTTCAAATTCCTGGGATGCAACAGTAACACTTAAAAATAAATCTAATTTTGAAATGCTACTGTGGGTATTTTTATAGAAATTCAGGAGGGTTTTTTATTATTATTTTCAAGATTCATGCCAAATTCTCCCCTGGCCTGGCAGCACAGCTCCCAGTTGTGTCCATGGGATCCATGGGCAGCTCCATCAGGAAGGGATGGCCCAGACCATTCTCTCTGCCTTGCAGCATCTACAACAGCTTTAAAATTCACATTTCACCTGCATTTTCCCTCTTTAGCCACTGCCCAGGCAGAAGCTGTGGCACTGAAAAGGTTCCAGAACTCGGGGGAGGCAGGAAAAGGGCAAAGCCATTTGCCCCAGGGCTCCAAGGAACATTTTCCTTTGCTCCAACCAGGAGTTCTCCCAACAAGGACTCAGGTGTTTTTGTTCAAGCATTGCCTTCTACACTTGCTTTTTTGTTTGTTTGCTTTTCCCTGCTCTGGTTACATTGCCTTGCACAAAACACCCTCGTTCCTTTATAATTTATAAACAATTTATAAAAAAGAGCTGAATTTCACCTTTGATGACCCAGAAGCATAAAGAAATGCAACACTAGATGTGTTCCTACCTAGGTTCTTACCCTCAGCCAACAGAACTTTAATATCCTGAATATTCTTCACATTTCTTGTAGATTGGAGATAGAACCAGGGGGTTTCACCAGTGACATGGAGACACATTTTAATGTTACATCTCCAGATTCCACTTCAGACACATTATCAGAATTTTAAATGCTTTGCAGCAGAATGTGGATTATTTGTGCCTGAGGGTTCAAGTCTTGTGTGGATGTATTATTGCAAAATGATCAGGACAAAATGGGGACTGCAAGGAGCCACTCAGCAGCTACAGCCGCATTTTTTCACGTAGAAATGCTCCATACCACTTGGCTAAAGGGTAAAAAAGACAGTGGTGTTCTCATGCTTGGAATATTGTTTTCCTTTCCTTCTCTAGCCACAGTGCTGCTCTGGGGTTAACCCTGAGTGGTGCAGATTGTGTTCTCAAGTGCCACTAAGCAGAAGCTTGTTTCTTTTTGTTTTGAAATGTCATTTATTTTGTTCTCTTCTGCTAAGAGTGTTGCTGGTATTAGCTCAGCTACTGGAATGGGAGAAAAAGAACACATGGAAATGTTTTTGTCATCAGTTCTGGGAGCAGGGGATTGCTCAGTCTGGGCACATCTCCACCAAAACCAGACAGGTATCCAGCCTGGCTTTACCTTGTGTTTTCTAATGTAATAAACTGTATTTATGGGCTATTTGGGGCCTCCTTTATGCTCAGAAATAATCCAGACAATCAGAAGAGCAGTGCCCTACAGAACAGTCTATAAACAACCACCTTTTTTACATTTAACTTCTCCAAGAGGTAAAATCTGAAGTGAGGATAAATATTGTAGTTCTTCCACAGAAAGCCAAAGGACAGAATGCAGCACGAGGGACTGACTTTGTTCACGGTTGACTTTGTGCTCCTGACATTTGGGGAATGCTGGAAATGCAAGGAAAAGGAGGAACTGCCCAAGGAAAGAGAGAAATCCACGCTGCAGGCTCCTGCCCAGACTTGCAGAGTCTGGGATTGCTGGAGGGAAGCTGCCAGCTGAGCCCTCTCAGCCAGCCGGGTTTCCAGAGCTCTCCCCAGCTTTTCCCACCCCTGCTGATCCCTCCCCAGGCTCTCCTTTGCCAGCCTGGCCTTTGCAAGTGGCATCATCAGCAGTCCCTCCTTGTGCTCCCATCCAAAATTCCCCTTTCCCAATTCCTCCCATCAACCTCTCACGGCTTGAGCTCTCCCTCGTTTTTGTCTCAGCCCCCTGAAAATGACAGTGACAAGGATTTTTACAAAAGGAAACTGCTAGGCTGATCCCACAAAATTGATTTTGCCCCAGATTTTGCCTGCAATGCTAATAAACATTGAACAGAATCTGCTGCATCTGATATCTCACCAATAATATATATTCTAAACATTAGAATAAATGGAAAAATAAATCTTATGTCTATGAAATTGTAAGATAGGAATGCTTGATTCACAATCCTCCTTGTTGATAATAGATTGCTATATTTAAAATATACTTTATAATGAAATGTTGTATTTAAAATACATTTGAGTCCTGATCACCTTTTCTTTTTCTGCCGATGGGATTCCAGATTATGAATCTGCTTTTGCAAACCTCAGCTCTCAGGAACTGACCCACAACAGAATCATTTCCTGCTGGTGTTCAGTATAATTTAATATCAAGGACACCCAAGTAATTCTGAAATATCCAGCATGTCTCACTCCCAGACTGAGGTTGCTGAAAGAGGAGTTCAGTTATAAAAATAAGCAACTTGGTTTCTACAGCCATGAAGTAAGACAACTGATCAATAAGTATAAAATAGAAGAATGAAGAGGGGGGATGTGTTCTGACATAATTATTTATTCTTGGGAAAAAATGTCATGTTTGGCCATCAACACATTGCAGCAAACTCATAGAAAAGTGGCTGCTAGTTTCCAAAACAAACATCCTCAGTAAAATCATCTCTCTATGATCTTAGCAGCACTTTTTCTTTATCCAAGGAACACACTAATCACTGAAAAAATATTCATAATATTTCTATTTCCCCTAGGGCCAAAATGCAAACCTTGATTTCTTCTTTCCGTTTCTTGTTTGGATGCTCTTCTGTCCTGTTTTGTTTTCATAAAACAAAATAAATTCTGTTTGCTGAAATATCATGTGATAAATCAGTCTTGATTTTGATGGCTCATTTGAAACATTCTCCAGTCAGTCCCCGCATGAATAAATAATCTTGGTTAGGAAGTACATGGATGGAAAAGTAGGAGGTGCAGAGGAGATTTGAGCAATTTTGAGCTCATATGATGAGGTAGAACCATTTCCTGGTTTTTCAATGCTGCACATAGATAGAAGTGCCATGAACAACTCAGTCTTTTCCAGCTTTTTATTCCCTGTACAAGCTCCTTCCCTATTCCTTAATTCTTATGTTAACATTTTATAGGACTTGCTATGTTAAATTCTGCTGAACTATTTAGGAATTTCTTCCTGCAAGGCATGCAAGGGTTTTGTTTCTAAACAAATGAAGAATCTCAGATCCATGTGGTGATTTTCCCAGAACAATACAAGTCTCAGTGGTGGTTCCCACTCTGAGCCAACAGAACTTTAATATCTTAAATATTCTTTGCATTTTATGTAGATTGGAGGTAGGAGCAGGGGGTTTGCATTTCTAAGCAAGATAATGGGCACAGAGATGGTTTCCTCGGTGAGATTTGTTTGTTTACATGTCTTTAAAGCTCTTCAGCTGTTTGGACTAAATGCAGAAAATGTCTTTCCTTACTTGCCCAGTGGCAAGTTTAGCACAAGTGGCGTTTAGCACAAACTCCGGGCGCCCGCACCAAAGGCGATGAAAACCCAAATGTGCTTCTTGAGGTGCAGCTGCAGGTGCAGAAGGTGGCAGGAAGGCTCTGAGCCGTGGGTTTTTGTAACTCCTGTGGTGTTCCTCAGCCATCAGGTTCGGGCGCATGCCGCAGGCGGAGAAGGAGAAGCTGCTGGCGGAGATCTCCAGCGACATCGACCAGCTCAACCCCGAATCCGCCGACCTGCGCGCGCTGGCCAAGCACCTCTACGACTCCTACATCAAGTCCTTCCCTCTGACCAAAGCCAAGGCGAGGGCCATCCTGACAGGAAAGACGACAGACAAATCAGTCAGTTCCCTCTTCTTTCTGTTTCTTCCTTTTTTCCGAGTGAATGATTCACCCAACTGACAGCGCAGCTCTTAACAAAAAACAAAATACAAAACCCTGAACCTAAAAAAAAGCCCAAAAAACCCCACTTTGCTGTTGGCAGTTATACATTTCAAGCTGTGTCTGAAACACAGGAAATGTTTTTAGATAGGATAAGTAAACATTATTTGAAAAAACTCCAAGTTCACCTAATAAAATACTTGAAACAGGGACAAGAATTTGAAGGTCACCTTAACCTTTTTGTATTCCCTGATCCTCTCTTCCCGTTTTCCCTCTTCTTGCCCAGAGGTTATCTCCCACACTATCTGTTTAAGGTGGCTCTCCAGCTGTCAGGAATTGCTGTTCCCTGAGGAATATTCCTTTTCCTAAGTGGCAAATGATTCCATCCCCAGCACATTGTTGTGTGATGCTCGTTCTTATGATGCTCTGATGAATTCCTGCTTTTCTCTGAGTTATCTCAGGTCACATCTGTGCCTTGAGTTGGTGCAGTTGGAATTTTAGGAGAATGGATGGGATCTGAGATCTGATCATGTCGGTAACAGTATTTTAATACCTAAAGAACAAAATAGTTTTCCACAGTTTATAACTCTTGGCTTGATGTATTTTCTAGAATCATTGGCAGAAATTTTGTTGTCAGGATTACAACAGAGAGTGCATTTTATTTTCCTTAATAATTTCAAAGACAGCAAAGAACTCAGAGGTATTTCAGGCTCCAAAAAGGTATTTCTTCCTTTCCTTAAAGGCAATTCAAATAATAATTTTAATGTTGTCCAGAAATTGGTTGACTCCTCATATAAAAGGTTTAGATGTGGCAGGCACTTACAATGTGAGTAACTTTTCAGTATGAAGCTTGAATTAGGTAAGTTTATTTATTCTGCAGAAACTGATCTGCAACCTGCTCATGCCTGAAAGTTCCACCACTACAGTTCTCACACAGTAAATGTATAATTACATTAATTAATTCTCCTTTTTGCTTGGGAGTTTTTAAACTTTGGCACATTAGAAACACCAATAAAGCAGTAGGCAGAATCCAGCTTTTCAGCGCTGCAAATTTTCAAGTGTTTCTTGAAAATACCACTGAAAGAGTGACACTCAGTACTTAATGGTTACAGCTTTCATACAGTTTTTATCAATGGATTTGGTGCTCTGGAGCATCAAACTGTTTACTGTGGGCATAGTTTAAATTCATGTTATTTTTTAGTTGCTGTGTGATCTGAATTAATTTAAAATATTTAGATAGGCAAGTGAGTGTATCAAAACTAGAATGAGTTCTTCATCATCTTCTGGGATATACAGAGCTCGTTTGACATAAGATTCTACTCTCAAAGTCATCTGAATCTTTATATTAAAAAAATCTTTGGCTGTTTTGAACTCTTTCTTGATTTTCATCTATCATGGCTAGGCCAGTGGTGTAATATTGGCTTTCTAAAGCACGTGGGCATGGACTAATAATGACTTTTTCTTGTACTTGGTGCTCCCACTAAAAAGAACAGAAAGAAATTATCCACTGGAACCAAAATATGCATTTTGAAAGCATCTGCTGCAGTCTTGTTGCTCCACTATTCCACGTGTGTGCATATCCATATGTGCAGATATGTATTTAATGGCTTTGCTGCTGCCAAAATGTCATTACCCAAAAAATTCCTTCTCTCCTGCCTTTTCTCAGTGCAGTTTGTTTGTTGTTTCAGTTTCACACTGAAATCCTCAGTGCAAGTGGGAAAATAATTTAATCCCTCACACTGTCCCTCCTGGAATGTCGTGGTCTGGAGCTGTAGACATAAAACCATGAGAATGAGCATCCCTACAAGGCATTAGAATCTGCAATCACAAATGACCTTCCATTTTAGAAATTATTTCTTTAGTCCAATTGTGGAGTATAAACCCTTGTATTTTAATTAATTAATCAAGTATGTTAACAAACCTATCCCTATCTGTGAGATTTGTTCAGTGCAGCAATGAACTATTCAGTCATTAATCCTCTGAGGGAAAGAGTCTTCAAATGAACTTGAGAAATCCTCACATAACCACTTCTTTAAACGCGGGAGCTTATTTTGCATATTCTGGAAGAGATTGTTTCCAGATCCTCATGCAAGTATTCTGGCACTACTTTTACTAAGCTGCTTTCAAAATTGATTTGTTCCAGTTGAATTTATTTCACAGTCAGCCTCATTTTTGTGTTCTGAATTGTGGTTTGTAACATGGTATTTGTTTTTTCTTTCCCAAAGACAAGCTGAGTGGGTTTAAATATATCCTAACATTGTTATTTTTACAGGAGTTAACAGCAAAAGGTTACCTTTATTAGTTAATCAATACCCTAAAGCTGATATTACTTGCAGTGTTTCCTAGGATAGAACATGAAAGGAACATGAAAGTAAATAAAGGAATCAAAATGAGAATATCTTTGTCTTTCTAAAAAAAAAAAAAAGAAGAAGTTTGCTTTCCACTCATTAGATTGTCTTTTATAGAAGCTGTTATAATTCAGGTAAAAGTAGTATCATTTCTATCATTTTAACCTTTTGTTTAACATCCCAAACTTTGAATTCTGGAATTACAGAACATTCTATAAAAAACAAAAAACAAACAAACAAAGGAAAAGGCAAAATTCTGGATACTTTAAAATAGTGTTCCTTCCCCCCTTCTACTTGGCATTTCTGTAAATAATTTTAACATTGTGAGGATATTTGTTTTTTATAGGTTTAGGACAATTTAACTCTTTGGGGAGCCCCTTAGGTTTTTCAGGACAATTTAATGATTTAGGGAGCTCTTGATAGGTTTTCAGGACAATTTAACTCCTTGGGGAACCCTTGACAGGTTTCTCAGGAATTTCACTATTTGGGGAGCCCTTGACAGGTTCCTCAGGACAATTTAACTCTTTGTGAACCCTTGATGGGTTCCTCAGAGGTGTCTGAGGGGTTGCTGCTGAGTTCTCTTTGGGTCCCTCAGGAGTCCAATGCTCTCGGGGAGGATGTTTGGGAGTAACTGGAGTTTCCCTTTGTTTCTAGCCCTTCGTTATTTATGACATGAACTCTTTAATGATGGGAGAAGACCAGATCAAGTGCAAGCACGTGTCCCCGCTGCAGGAGGAGAACAAGGAGGTGGCCATCCGCATCTTCCAGCGCTGCCAGTTCCGCTCCGTGGAGGCTGTGCAGGAGATCACCGAGTTCGCCAAGAACATCCCGGGATTCGTCAACCTCGACCTCAACGACCAAGTGACTCTGCTGAAATACGGGGTCCATGAGATCATTTACACCCTGCTGGCCTCTCTGATGAATAAAGATGGGGTTCTCATATCCGATGGACAGGGGTTCATGACGCGGGAGTTCCTGAAGAGCCTGAGGAAACCTTTTTGTGACTTTATGGAGCCCAAGTTTGAGTTTGCTGTGAAGTTCAATGCACTGGAATTAGATGACAGTGACCTGGCAATATTTATAGCTGTCATTATCCTAAGTGGAGGTAAGTGCTCTCTTATTTATATGGGATTTTAGAGGATGGAATTGATACCTTTAACTCCTGCCCCAACAGCAAAGTGCTCAGCGCTGCAGGCTGGGAGCGAGTGCATTTACACACAGCTTTTTTAGTCATTTTCAAATCTCTATTTGTTGTTTGCCCTTTATTCAGTTCCAGACAGAAACTGGAAATGGAAATGCCCCAATATTAGTGATGGAGCTGGAAATGCCTGCTGAGTCATCAATTCATTTAGGCAGAAAACAAAATCAGGGCTATCTTTTGGAAAACAGGAAGGGTGGAATTTCACTGCCAGGAGCTAAAATTCTGCAGAAGATTTGTTTTTTAAACTTTCAATTAGATTGTGTGGCTAGCTATTTGACCACAAACAGCTTTGACTCCAGAACAATTCCAAAGCATAGGTGGTATTGGGCTTACAGGGTTATGGTACTTTTATTGTTCTTCCATTCATGCAAGGTTTTGTTTGCCTTTAAAAGGAGGGGGAAATGCATTTTTTAGGAAAATTATGGTCTCCTAAAAATAAAAAAAAAAAAAAAAAGAAGGCATTGTGTGCTTGTTCAGCTTTCCTCAGCTGTATCTTCACACATCACGCTTTGAGCAAAGCATGAGCCTGAAATCCCAGGTATCAGACTTCCCACATTCAACACTTCACTGAAAAAACTGAATTTCAGCATTTCTGCAGCCAGTCAGTGTGTTCTCTGCTCCTGAGGTGATGTCACTGCCTGTTTTGTGAATTAGTGATGCCTACCAGGATTTATTTCACTTAAACACCTTCAGATACATTCCAGACACACTGAAGCTCTGTTAATTTGGCCAACTCTCCCAAGGCAGTGATGTTGCACAAATACAATCTTGCCCTACTGCTCTGTGTGTATTTTGGCCCAACGTGGAGCTGCACACATCCATGGCAGGAATGTGCTGAATGCTCTGGATTCGGCTCCTCCGCAGAGCAGCGCCGAGGGTTTTGTTATTAAATTACATTTCAGCAATCAGACACAACCTCATGCTATTGCTCTAAAAGCAGCCCTGCTGCTGGGAGGGCACTCTGAGGTACATCTGTGTTTAAATTCACCTCCAGCTCCCCCTGGCACTGTGTTTCATTCAGGAAAAATGGGGGGTCACATAGAATTTGTCCTGCCGATTCTGCTCCCAACAAGAATTCCTCCCAGAAATTTCCTTGTGCAAACCTTGGGCACCATGATCCCTGAGGGCTCTGCATTAATTCAGGAAGGAAAACACCATGCTGGGGTATTTTTGGTTGGTTTTGATGGGAGAGGAGAAATGGTACAAGCCTCTCAGGGCACTACTCAGAACATGCCAATATTTTGTGGGTTTTAGCATAGTGAAATGGGACAGATGAGAAAAGGCTTCTCAAAATTCACTCCTAACTGCAGAAAGGGAACTTATGATCAGCAGTGTTTGGTTTCCACCAGAGGAAACAGGAATGATGTAACCAATCTCACATTTTGGATTGCAGGAGGACAGTGATTCATCTACAATAATTAACTGTGTTGAACCAGATTTACCAGCATGTCTCTTTTTTTCTCTAGAATAATTTGTAAACAGAGACTTGTAAATAACTAATTAATTTGAGTCAAGAAACTGTAGCAAAACTCTGAAACAAATCTGTAGAGACATGTAAATCCATATAAATATAAATCAGTCCTTTCTAGGAAGATCCTTTAATTTCAACAAAGACCTCCCTATCTTTTTTGCAGAACTTCTTTTATTTTTCCAAGAAGTGTGATAGCTGCTTAAAAAAAAAAAAAAAAGAAAAAAAAGAGTTTATGTTTTGAAAACAATTAAGTTTTGTTGCCAATTAAAGAAAGCTTTTATCATGGAATTTACAGCTAGATATGATATCTATTAAACTGGGTGCATTCTGTGGGATTAAAATATCTTTTGTGATATAAAGCTGAGTCCTATTTCACAGCTGCCTCAGACATTTCTGTAAGAGCTACACCCTTGCAAAACTGTATTTCTGTAAGAAGTATTTGAATATAGCAGGGTGATTTCACTGAGAACAGGATTTCAAAAGCAGAGCACCTCAAGGACTTGACTTGCTGCAGGAATCCTGCAACGCTTAAATCCCCTCACAAAATCCTGTGTACAAACATCTCTAACAGAAAACCACTTTGTGAAACCCAAAAAGATCCCAGCCAGGGGCTCTAAATGTCAGTGAATCTGTTATTACCTAGTGAAATTATGCTAATTCTGCTGGCTCCAGGGGGGCTGGCTCTTGTGCAGCTCTAACAGAAGAGAAGAAGGGAAAAGGAAAGATAATTCCAGCTGGAACATCACACATGGAAAGCTTTTCCTTGGGAAGTGCTTGGAATTTGCCACAAATCCTATAAAACTCCTTAGCCTTTTGATAACCAAACAGCTGCTTTTGCATGTTATCTGAAAAGGCAAAAAGCCCAAATCCCAGCAATAAGGAGCTGACAAATTAACTGTAATAGCAACAGATGGAAAATATTCCCACAGTGGATTTTACTGTTCCTGAGCTGCTCAGTGCAGCCTCTCTCTGCCTCAACTATTCCAAATGTTTCTCTGAACTCATTTCTGGAGAGCTGCTCTTACTGTTGGTGCTGTAAAACAAAGTAAATGGCAAACAAAGTCTTGTTTTCTGAATTTAATGCTGGTCAGACAGAGAGACTGTGTGTGAGCATAGGATTTCACCTGGTTTGTACAACAGAAATGCTTTTGGCCATCAGCAGCAGCAGCAAATACTCATTACAACATCCTTCCAGCTGTGGTGGATTTAAAAGACACACTCTGGTTAAATGAGATTTGGAAAGCTTATTTTAGGAGATTTTCTCCCTCTGTGTCACTGAGACTCACCCTCAGTCAGTAGGTGAGTGCTCTGATATACATGAAAAGGAACTGAAGCATCTTTAAAACATCACATCCACCTGAGCTGAAAATTAATTCTGTCACAAGAAGGTTTAGGGAGAAGGAGTTGGATGGCTCTGTTTGAACAGGAAAGGTAATACTGCAAGCCTTATTGGAATAATTCACATTTGTGAACTGAGCAAGCTCACTCAAGCAGGCTGTTGTCAAACAAAGAAAAATCTCAAAAGTTAATTTGGTATCATGGATGGACTTGAATTTTTGTGTATTATCTTCTGCAGTGGTTGGATATAGCAGTGTTTGGATACAGGAATTTTGGGATACAGGAATGTTTGGATACAGGAATGTATGGACACAGGAATGTCTGGATACAGGAATATTTGGATCCAGCAGTGTTTGGGGCAGAGTATCCCTGTAAAGACCCACACTCTGCCAGTCCATGTGCAGTCAAACTGGTATTTAAATCCAGAGATGTTTCTAAAGTCACTTTTTTTCTGTTTTCTGTGTGCTTTTACCTTAAATTTTAAGCCCCGAGCCTCTGCTCCTGGTGCAAACACTGTATTCAATAATCTTGCTGCATTCTCAGATCAGCAAAATCTGAAGTTTTATCACTGACTGTTACCAAGAAGTGGTTCCTATTTCACTGCCACACAAATCCTGCACTTTGGATCAATGCCTCCAGTGATGATCTGCAGTTTTTGCTCGGATTACAAAGCATTGCTTTGTCCTAACAAACTCCTGGTGACTCCAATACTTGTGACAGTCTCAGAAGACAAACCTCAAACTGCTGAGTCACGTCTGCCTCAGCAAAAGAAAAAAGAAGGAGCACATGTGTTCACTCAGCCAGGTCTTTGCCTGTTCTTTCATACTGAGGTTTTAGAATGTGCATTTAAATGCAAAATGCATTTATTCAAAGATAATAAAATGTAAAGACATGCAGGTGGCAATTTCATACGTGAGAACCAGGTAAAAAAGATTGTAATTATTGCTAGGGACATGAAAGAGGCATCCAAATAAGTAAGTAAATAATTTTTTTCCCCTGAGACAGTATAGAATATCAATTTACACAAAGTGGTACTGCTTGCTCTCAGAACTTTGGGATCATTGGCCTTTCCCAGTCACTGTGAATATTTTTAGCACAGTTTTCAAACCAGTTGAAGCAGCTGTAGGACAATGCATGAAAACATAAAGGAAATGTGAATAAAGAAACATAAGAAATAGCAGGGAACCATGGCACTCCTGGAATTTTCCTTTTTCCTGCAAGACACATCCCTCTGCAGCTCCCTACTGCACAAAACTCACCTTTTGGTACAAAACCAAATTGGTCTGGAGCAGATATATATTTAAAAACATTTTAACAGCTTGAAATATACCACAATAGCTGGATGTTTAAGCTTTTGCCTCTTTTTTCCTTTTTTTTTTTTTTTTCCTGATTTAGATAAGTTTCTTGGAACAGAAGCAGCATTTTCCTCTGTAAGAGGTTTTTACTGAGAAAGTATAGCAAACTGTCAACACCCAAAAACCACTGCTCATATCCTGAAGTTCTCATTCATGAAAAATCTCTCTTGCCTTCAATGGGAATTTTCCTTCCTCTTGAATTTGCTTATATAAAAATAACATCTGATTATCTCCTAGGCTTTAGTCAGAGTCATCTTTTCTTCCTCTGGTCCCACTGGGCCATTAGACAATCATCAGATTAGGGCTTTTCAAGGGATTTCAGGATTTTAGCCACTGCAGTCTCAGGCACCCAAATTCAGGGGGCTCCTGATAAATTCCAGACCCAGTGAAGTTTCCTCCTGGACTCTGAAGCACAATATTTGAATTGGGATTCTCTCCTGAAAAGTTCACACCCCAAAAACTTCCCACCCCAAAGGATCAGGGGCAAAGGGAGATGGATCTCAGGGGAAATCGAGGCCACGTCTTTGTGCTCCCTGATTTTTTCTGTCCCTGCACACTGAGTCATGCCCAGCTGGCTCAGAGTTCAGTTGCAGCACACAAGGAGAATTTAAAGCTATCACAACCCCAAATTATTACCAGCTTTGACAGGCTGAAATTTGGCAAGTTTCAGAAAGATGTCAACTCAATCCTTCAGCCCATGCAATAATGCATTCAGGCAATCAAAAAGTAAATATCTAACATTTGTCAAAAATTCTTTAGGCATTTTAAAAACTGCTCCAAAATATTGCCCAAGGAAATTCTTTAAAAGGAACTTTTTGTTATATTTACTCCCAGATTTTCTGAACCAGATTTTATGGGGCTATCAGTTGGATGGGATAAATAAACGATGTCTGCAAGACGAACACGTTGACAAACAAATATCCAGGTTCACATCCAAAATTACTTTTATTCCTATCTTTGAAAAACTCTGCCTAAACCTCACGTCTTGGAGAGCTGAGTATCCTTTCCTGATCAGCGACCTTTGTTTTCATGGCTCACTCGTTGCTTTTCCTGCCAGCTTTGCTGTTTAGTTTACACTGCAGTTTTTCCCCATGAAGTAAAGCCATGATGTATTTATAAAGAGCTTTGTTTTCTCCCAGCCTTTTTGCCAGCGTGCAGCATGAGTCGAGCTGAGTTAGGAGAACTCTCTGCTCAGAAAGGTTACCAAGATCACAGGAAATAACAGCTTATTTTTTATGTTTTTAATGGAGATCAGCCTCTCGTCCCTGCTGAAATGGAATTATTGCCTCAGGAAAGTGACTTACGGCTTGCAGCAGGCACTGCTTCTTATTGATCAAACTATGAAAATAATTTCACAGCTACACAGCAAATTTTATTTAAATTATTGACTCTTTTCACTATGTATTACAATATTTGGGATGTGTTACCAAGTATTTTAGCAGTAACAAATTCATGGTGGTCATTGTCATATGTGAGAATTTAAAATTTTAAGCATCTTTCATTGCTTAGTCATTCAACATTTCATTAACTTTCAGTGCTGGAGAATTAAATAAACTGCAGAAGTTGAGTTTATGCCTTTTTTTTTTTTAATTTTGAAGGGTTCACATCCACCTTAGAAGGAAATATTTTTAGTGGCAGCAGGTACATGCAAATCCATCATGTTGATTTTACAGAAAGTAATTACCTGATACAGATTGTTTATCCCCCAACTATCTCATTCTTATTTTCCCACACACACTCCCAGTTTACTGTGGAAAATCCACTGTAGTGGAGTATAAACCTAGTTCTAGGTTATAAAACTGGTTCTAAAACTCCTCTGAGCAAATCCCAGTGAAATCTTACAAAGTACCTGATGGTCAGACAGTTCTCAGGAAATGCCATCTCTAAAGGCTTCATTTGCTAAGAAATGCGTAAGAAATTACTGCATGGCACTGATGCTGTGATGCTGATAAACTCACACCCCTTACTTCCCCCAGACCACCTGGGGGAAATGTTTCCAAGACTAATCCTAAAGCTCCTTTGAGTAGATCCCAGTGAAACCTTACAAACTACCTGATGGCCAGACAGCTCCCGGGAAACGCCATCTGAATTTGCTAAGAAACGCATAAGAAATTAAAGCAGAAAATCGACGTTACGGTGCTGATAACCTCCCACCCCTTTTCTCCCCCAGACCGCCCAGGGCTGCTAAATGTGAAGCCCATTGAAGACATTCAGGACAACCTTTTGCAAGCCCTGGAGCTGCAGCTGAAGCTGAACCACCCCGAGTCCTCGCAGCTGTTTGCAAAGCTGCTGCAGAAAATGACGGACCTCAGGCAGATCGTCACGGAGCACGTGCAGCTCCTGCAGGTCATCAAGAAAACCGAGACGGACATGAGCCTCCATCCTCTGCTACAGGAGATCTACAAGGACTTGTATTAATGAGCAGAGCAGTTGCTAATCCCCTGACAATGATGTATGTTCTTCAGATTGCACTATTTCTTTGAGGGAAAAACTTGGCGTACCTAAGAGATTACTGTGAAACAGCATTTAAAAAGAGAGAGCTTAGTATAGTAGATCTATTTTATGCATATTGTTTATAAAGACACATTTACAATTTACTTTTAATATTAAAAGTATCTATATAATGAAATTGTTGGCAGTATTTTCAGAATTAATTTTTTTAACTACGTTACTTCTTAAAATCGCTTGTCTGAGTATGATCAGTGCTTCACTCAAGCATGCAGTTAAATTTTCGGCTAAATAAAAACCTTTCTCCTTGAGCATTTCCAGGGAAATGTTTGAAGTATTAACGTTTGATTTGGTGCTCCTGAGGCAGCAGCACAATAAAATTCAGTCACAGATTAGTGCAACTTCCCAGGAGAGTCTCAAAGGCCGAAGGGAGAAGTGTCAAGTCTGAAAATACTCGTGCCTTCCATAACGAGATTTGACACTGGCAGTGCTGTGTGAAGGGGGCTCGGTGTAAGGAGAGATCAGGCCACTCCTCTGTGGGCAAACTGAGAAATCAGATGCCATTTCAACTCATTTAGGAATTCATATGCACTGCTCAGCACTCCTAGGAAACAAAGTCCTTTTGATTCCTCTGCTCATGCAAGTTTGAGACAGGTGAAGCAGCAGCTACTCCAATTCCCACCCCACAGCAACCAGGGCTGAGCTGGAATAAGTTGGTACAAACCTCTTGGCTCAAGACCTTCTCCAATTATTTGATAAACTGCCATTGAACAGCAGTCAAAATATCATGGAAAACTGGGATGTCGTGACAAATTAACTCCTGAACAAAAGCAAGGTTTAGATGAATTCTTGTGTAAAGATAAAGCTGTGATAAAACTGTACCCTGAGTTTGACTCGAGCTCTAGGTGTTCATCCAGGGGTGCTGGAGATGTTCCTGCTGTTGAGGTTGTTGGTTTTCTTGCATGCCTTGCCCTGTAATGTCACCTAAGAGTTCCACAGGGAGCAGAGCACAGTAGAGTGAACAAATTTAACAGAAGATAAATTTCCTAACAATGTCATTTTGGGGTATTCTTGGTACTGAGGTAAGAGATTCACATTTCACCTGCCCAAGTTTGATAGTTTGTGGATGTGACCCCTGACTAAATCAAGCAGGGGGGACCCACAGTGGTGGACCAGGAGAGGGAATACTGGGGGGGAAAAGCCACTATTTGTAACTTATATATCAAAATAAGGAGAGATGCCCAACAGCCTTGGTTTCCTCCCCATGTCTGTATTTTATTTATGTAGCAAATCTTGTGCCTTAAACTGAGACAGGGGGAGTGGTGATTCCCAAGTGGACAAAGAGGTGATGTAGGTGTGAGTAGGATCTTCAGGGTGTAGAAATTGTCTTTGCTCCTACTGCAGACCTTAAAACTCTTAAGACAATGCAAATTATGCAATAAAGGAGCTGAGAGGTAAATATTAAAATTAATCCTTCAGCTCATGCCCTCTACACCTGGAAACGTTTCCTGCCGCTGATTTCAGGTAACCTCTGGGCCTGAGGTCAGCAGGGAGCTTTGTTCCCACCAGGAAGTTTGGGGAATTGGATCATTCAGCCTCCAGGTGTGGAGCCCACGGGTGGAATTGCACTGAGATGAAGTCACTGCGAGGCTGCAGAGAGCAGCTTTGATCCTGCCAGCCTTGCAGTGAGGTCATCTCAGGTGGCTAGAAATGATGGCCCCGGAGCACACCCAAAATTGCAGCTCATGCTCAGCACTGCAGGCTTGCTGCACATTCCAGGTGGTTCCAGCTGAGCGTGGCCTGCAGGAATTGCATCCACACTTTCACGGCTGTTACAATGCAAAGGGAATGTTCTCCCTCTGTTTAAGTTGTTTTCCACTGTTCATTTGAAGCGTTGCCTTCCACCCCTCAGTGGGAGAATTCCCAGAGCTCCCCTCCTGTGGAGGATGGGGCAGAGGTGAGCTGGCACTGGGATGGACTCCAGCTCCAACACTGAATTCCTGTCACAGCAGCACCCAGCAAGAACCAGCAATCTGAACCTGCGTTTCTTAAACAATCCCGTTTCCCACTGGCTTCCCTTGAAATGGAAGTCCAGAAGTAGTTTCAAACAAAAAGGAATTTTAGGGCATGTCCTTACAGAAGTAATATTCAAAACTATTTGAAAATAAGTGGCAGAGATGCTCTGACAGGGAAATTGAGTTCACTACTTTGTTAAAACACTGAAAAAACTTTGTGTAACACAGCAGCACATTAACCAAAGAGCTTCATCCCACTCCTGCAAGGGGTAGTATTTCTGAAACTGTCCATTCAGCAGTGACAGTGTCTAAGCCACTCAGTCCAAAAATCCCTACGTTTTGGGATGGAATGGAATCACAGTCAGAAGAGTTTTGCAGGAATGGGTGTTATCCTTTATGAGGATGAAGGCACTGATGCCCAAAAGCCTCTACTTTTCTTTCAACTGTATCAGCTGCTCTAATAAAATATATTGTTCTCCCTACACCCTGTCTGCTCTCACATATTGATATTATTCACCATGTTTTCCTCAAGCCATGCAAAGTGTTAATTTTTTATGTGAGTTACTGATCACTGACATGCTCTGATTCTAAGCGGTTACATCATGGTTAAGAAGTTTTGCCTGAAATACTTTTCTACAAGAATAGGTCTTAAGGGAAAAATGTTCATTTAATGGACAATTGCTATGTACTAATTTAGAACAAATGCCTCTTATGAGGATATGAAAACATTTTCTCAAAAAAAATAGCATTTTCTCTTGTGAATTATATTCAGAATTTTGATCTAATTGTAAATACTTTCTGTTTCTATGGGACTTTATTTATTAAAAACACAAACTTGCTAATGGGAGTTCATCAGTAGGTTGTAATACTTTCAGACTCTCTAGAGTTTTGGATAGAATGGGCTACACCATAAATGAACAATTTGGGTTTTGATCTTCAGTGCTACTAAAATCATTTAACAAGTCAAAAATAGAAGCAGTCAGCTGGTACATGCCTGCCTTTGAAGAACTTGATTGTGCTGGTGTTGTGCTGCTCCTCAGTCATCTGTGCACTCCATCAGAATATCCTCGGGGATGGTGTGGGATCCTGGACATTCCCACAGGCTTTGACACTTCTGGGCTGTTATTCTGCCTTGTATTTCACACTGATCTGATTTTTCTGTGGAAAACCTGCAGGTAAATCGAGCCCAGGGAAAGTCATTCGTGTTCCTGCACACATCCAGCCCATTTCCCTCGCCCTGTCAGGCACCAGAACATTCCTTGTAAGAGCTCAAAGGTCCTTGTTCAACAGGGAACATTCCCTTCTTCAGACAAGGCTGGTGACCATTTCTCCAGCAAACATTGCTATGAGGGCCTGGAATGGAATTCAAGAGGAGAAAGAAGCATTTTAGCACCCCCATTGCTGCAGCTCAGACTGTTTCAGTCACAGTTTCCATAAAAGCATGGAAAACCCATTGGTACCCCTGGTGCAGGTGTTTCACCACCCTTCAGCCCTCCCTGCCAGAACCTTCTTCCAGCACAGCCAGCCCTCAGCACTCCAAAGCACTGGAAAATGGGAAATGGGCTCGCCGAGAGCTGCTGTCCCACCTCGTGTGGCTGAGCCCCTTCCCCCAGGTAACACACCACGGTTCCAGCCACTGTGGGCACAGAGAAACCCTGAGGGATCAGCATTTAGTATTTGATTTCTAGCTGTAAACTCTGTCTTGAGGCTGAGTACGTTTTAATGGGACTTTTTTCCTTTTAAATAAGAGGTAATATCCCTTAAATGGATGTAACACCAACTTTACAAACACAAACAATACAAAGCTGCAGCTAGAAATTTATAGAAGACGGAAAACAAATCTGAGGGGGAGCAACTCCAGGAAACCCCTCCTGGATCAGCAGCTCAGTCACACACCTGTCAAACAGTTCAGGTCCTCATTCGAGCACTGGAAAAAATTATGGGTGTCATCATAAATCCCATCCAAGTGCCTGGTCTTAAAAGCAGTGGTTAAAAATCAGCTGCACAGGGCTGTATCCAACCCCACAGACACAAGGAATGTACTTCCACTTTTCTCAGTATTACCCAGCCCTGCAAGTGATGGGGGTAGGAAAAACAATTCCTGAACTTCTGGATTTTCGTTTGGATAATGATGGGGGATGCAGAGGAAATTAGGCAGCACATCTTCACTGGCCTGAAGTAAACACTCAGAAGGCACTGACCCAACAGAGGAAGAAAGGAGGAAATGATTCCACAGCTTTGGATGCAATGAAGAAGGGTACGATACATGTGTGTGCAGGGTCTTACAGGATTTTACCTTTATTTTTTCTAAGAGCCAAATGCCCAATGGACTTGCTGTTTGCAAGAAGTTTTAGTGCACCAAAGCCAGTAAACAGCACCTGTAAATTTATATGTTCCCAAAATAGGAAAGGTTTGTTCAATTCACAGTCTCTTTCACTACATCTATTTATTGCTTAATGTGGTGAATATTGAAGTATTGCAAGTCTGTAACTTGGCTGGATCCTGTAGCAGGAATTCTCTGGGCAAGTCTTGCTCTGGGCAAGCATTAGTCAAGGCAGTAACTCTCAGATTTTTGGGGTTAAATGCTTCAGGACTCCTTTTAAATGTGAAATTAATTTGCTTCAATAAATTTTTGCGAGTGGCTGAGATCAGCTCCCAGCTCTCAAATGGGACGAGCTTCCAATTGGGATTTTGCTAACTGAACGTGGCTCTGAGCCCTGCTTCAGAAAAGGGTAAAGCCAAGAAAGAGCTTTAGCTGCTAGTGAAAATGGCCCTTCTATTGAGACACAAACTGGTTAAGGGCTTTCTTTTTAATTATTAAGCTTTCTCATCGTGCTGGAAATGGGGAGCATTTTCATAACAACGTTGGCCAAGAGGAATATCCATTGCTCATTGAGTTATATGCTGTTACCCAACGAGGCTTTTTTAGTTCAGTGGAGACAGCAAGGGAGAGCTGAAGTCTCCAGAGGCAGGGGAGGGAAGGAGGAGCACGCAGCACCATTGGTTCTCACACTGGGAAGAGCTGGCAGTGCAGGAGAAGATCTTGTCCTGCTTGCTGCAATGGTGATTAAAGCATTCTGTTGTGTCAGCATATCCTCGGTCTGTTAGTGCTAACTCTCAGCTGGCCATATCCTGCCAGATTTGCAAGCAACGCCTGCCAAGCCATCTCAACAAAAATGTAGCTTTAAATATTATAAATGATGCTGCATTTTGCTGTGGAAATGTTTCCTGAAAAGGCTGTTCCAAAACATCCTTTATTGTTGGGGGAGGGGAGTAAAAGGGGCCTGGGAGAGGGAGGAGGGA